TGAGAATTCACCATTTTTGCAGAGGTCAATTTGCTTTAATTTCTTCTGCGCTTAGACGACGATCGGGATTGTTTTCTATGTTATCTGCCCGGAGTCAAGATAGCGAGTTTGGGCTGGTTAACTTCCGAAATTCGTATTTACTACCCCGAGTTTTTGATAAGTCAAACACACCCCTATGTTCAAGAAAATTGAAAATAATACCCGGAAGACCAATATTTTAAAACTTGACCCGAACATTGACCAATAAGAGTTGAAGGGTCGAATCGTCGAACCATGCTCTAATCAATGGTAAAAGAATTAATTAAATTAAAAAAAAAAAAGAACAAATCAACCATTTCTTATGCCATTGTAATGGATGCCAAATTTCTTGTTTTGACGTATAACCAAATTGATTTTTGAATCAATTCTTGGTTTGTTTTGATTAAACTAATTCATCTGATCAAGTAATTATGATACTAAATGACTGATATCGTTAACTTTATTAAACAACACGTGTGCCTTATGCAAAGTTCCACCTATACGTGGATTAACAAATAGAGGTAAAACATTTTTAAAAAATTATATATACCATTTTGTTTTAACATGAACATTTATTTCTCAAATTAAAAGAATAAAGTTTTCTTGCTTCATAAAAAATATTATTAGGTCATTAACTCTGATGAGTAGAATATACAAATCATAAGGAGAAAATTTGATTGATGCATCAAATCTCACATACACAACAGAAAAAGTAACGTTTAGTTGTAGGTTCTCTTCTGCAATACCTTAAATTATCATCACTTCTCATTGCCTTAAAAAGAAGTTTAAAGTTTCTTATATGATGTAGCATACACAAAGCTCACATATTCATCAATATTGATACTCTTATAAATCCATATACTCACCCTCACGGATTCAAGACTACAGTGAATTTATTTTATGTTTGCATTGACACTTCCAGCAGACTTGACTTCATTCACCCTTACAGGGAGTCTCGGTGCAGCGACAAACAGGCCTTCCCGAGGCTTCCCAACCATTATAACCGCGTTCCAAAACCATGATATTTTTTATCCCCGTCTCTTCTTTCACCTCAGCAAGATACTCAGCAAGCCTTCTAGCACATTTGGGTCCACGAACCTTCAGAAGAAGCATTTGCTAGTCAAATATCAATTTAATAATCAGCTAAGTATAAAATTTATTGAGTGTTCAAATCAATTGATAAAGTGAAATAATTTATTAGCAACAATTAAGTTGAAGATCCATCTAGTTGGAACTCCAAAAGTAAATCACGTGATGAGATCGAGTGTGGTAATTTTTTTTCATAGGTAAACATTTACCAACAAATTGCTAAGAGAGTTCGACCCAAGTACCAAGTACAAACTGAAACTTCACTTGATCGTTTACAATATCCCAAGAGCTTGCACACAAACCCACATCAAATCCAACACAAAACTAACTGCATACTCTCCGTAAAAACCCTCAATCCATTGGATAACAAATCTACAACAAGCAAAAGAAAGAAAGACATCTTATAACCCTACAGCAGAATCATTGCCACGAGAATATTTGAGTTCTTTATTTGGAGTTGCTTTTGCATTTTGATTGAGCACTCAAGCATTTAACTTCTTCTGATGTAAGTTTGGATCTGTATTTAGATAGTTTGTTCTTCTCCAACTGCACATGACCAATTTGTTGAGCCTTTACCATATCTGGGAGGCACCATAAAAATTCTAAACAAATCTTCAATTTCCTTCCATTCATCTGCACAGTCTGTCAATCTCAAACAAAAACTAACCATTTAATACAGTGCATCTAAAGCACTCTAGGTGGTCTAAATGCAGTTCACTTTACTTATATCTAACCCCACATCAAGTATCTAACAGCACAGCTCCGTCTCCATCCATATTCCACATCACTCATTTCTGGAAGTAGTCGACCCAACTCTGGGTTAGAACTTCCATTGCTGACATTCCCAAAAAACCATATAGTTTACCTTTGGGCAAATTTTAAAGGGGGTTTATCCATCCAGAACAATTTCAAGAAAATATTCTGAACTGAGTAATATAGTTGTCAATAAGAATAAAAGTTCGACTATATTTTCTTATAAATCAGAAAGACAGATGAATTATATAGGTAAACTTATCGTAAGCATACCATATATAGGACTTTAAATCTGCCAGTTGATCGTTCGAGTAACATTTCACATACAAAATTTAAGCATTCTATCATTGTGACTCAGGTGTCGTCCGGGGGAAGTGACATAATTGCTTACGAAAGCTTAATTTCGAAGCAAAAGGAATGAAAGAGAGAGAAAAGAAAATGCAACAAGGGGTGGCAATTAACACTCAGCATACACTCACAATCTGATCTGTTTTTGTATAATTGTATTATCTAATGATGATACCAATGACTGGCAAAAATGAAAAGAAACCTTAGTTGTCACAAAGAGCACACAAAATCCAACAACACTTGTTACCCAGTGACATACATCCAATGTTACCAAAGAACAAAGGGCCATCGGGCAGTTTAGTCTGGGCAAAGTTCTGATGGATAGACAACAAGCATAACCTACAAACTATATTTGTGTCAAAGCATACTCCATAAACAGAAACAAACTTTAGCAAAGCATCACCTCATAGGAATAATTATAAAACAAAATTTTAATCAATGAACAGTGAAATACTTAATGATGGACACTAATTAATGCAAAATGATTCTGCCTTTAATCCTTCTTCCAACTGGCAACACAACCACACTATAATGACCCACAGGCAAATAAGCAACAAGATACTACACAAGTTCCAGGAGAATCAAATTGTATCACTGTTTCAGGCCGAAAGGAAAACCACAGATTCTAATTTAGATGAAGCCCAATCAAGATATCGAGCAAAACTGCAGTCTTGATTTTTTCAATTTTAAGCCATATAAGATTTTACCCTTAACGTGCATTGCCTCAGTTGAACTTTAGACAATCAAATTGAATAATAATACATAGCACACTGGTGCTACAACACAATTTTAGTGGCGCTAAGTGTTAGGTTGAATGAAAAGTAGAATTAAGTGATTTAATAGTAAGTCACATTTAATGCTAAATTAGTATCACCTATACTTGTATTTTTAAGACTAGTGGTGCTAAATAGCATTACTAAATCAGATTGCTCGTTTTGAGCTTTTTAGTCTCTTTGGATTCCATCTCGAAAGCTCAAACTTCGAATAGCTCAATCTAATTATTGTTTTCATATTTAAGCCAGGTGGGTAATAAATGATGAACAGCTTGGGAGGGAAGGCGAAAATAAAATATACGAGAAACAAACCTGGCTGAGAGCACAATGGAAAACGAGGGTATCTTTGTCCTTGGCAGCTTCAATAAGACTGGGTATTTTGTCAAGAAACGTATCGCTAGCATAATGAAGTGACCCCGCTATGTGCCCATCGTAGTTCCTCTCCTCGTCCCTGAAAAAAATAAAATCCCATAAATCCGATCAACCCACAATAAACGGATCACTAGTATTTAATATGTTTCAGTAAATTATAGTTATTTAAAAATAAATAAATAAATAAAAGGCTACCTGACATCGACGACGACAATGTTGGGCCGGCGTTTGACGGAGAGAAGCTGAGAACCGGTGATGTATGTGATGCTCCGAGCCATCTCCTCCTCTCTTATTGGCAGCGTATTCTTTGTATCTTTTCTCGTCTACTGCAACTGGATCGGTATAAACACGCTTTTAAAGAGGAATCTTTTATATGGCCCCAGTTTAGAAATGCTTGAAACTTGAAAGTGGAATATAACTAGCAATTTTCAATTTTTAAGTCAACAAATTATGGCTTATAAATTATAAGCACCAAAATGTATTATCTAATTGATACGGGTCATGTGTCCTTATTGTCGTCCTAAGATCAATTGTTTTTCACAAAAATGTATCCAGTGGCGGACGGAGACATTTTGAATTGGTGGAGCACAATCAAACATGCAAAGAATAAAAATTTACGTTTATCTCAAATATCACCGAGTTTGTAAGCTTTTTTTTATCTCAACATCATTTTCATTACTTTTATATCGAATAATCTTTCATTAACATTGTGATTATCAAAAGAAAAGGCATGTTTACGTTTAAATTATCTTTCCAACACAATTAATGAAAACAGTCAATTCAAGTGAAAAATACAAAAAGCATAGCGAATTCTAAATATTACATTATTGATTGCATTCTAGTTTAAACAAAAACAAAAATCACAACAAGAATCCATTATCATAAAATCGCCAAAAAAAGATAGAATTTGGAGCACTTGAGGGAATCACCAATTCCATTTCATAAGAAAATACAAAAGAAATAATTTCCTAAAGCTTCAAATCTGATTTTTGAGGAAACCCGAAAGAAAAAAAAAATTCAATTTAAGTTGGTGGGTCAAGTGACCCACCAAGACTCATCTTGGGTCCGCCAGTGATTGTATCATTCCATTAATTTGCTCCATCAAATGATCGCATGTAATTCGTCCAAGAGTAATTTCGTCAAGAAGTTAATTGATTATCTTTTTCTAGAAATTTGAGATTTGACATATTAAAACAAAATGTGAGATTTTTAACTCAACAAAAATCTAAAAGTTATGGGCGACATTTCAAACTTGTATTGGCGATTTTGCAAGTCAAATATGGACAAATATTTGGTTTTATGTGCAAAACTTGAGTTTACTATGTAAAAGTCGAATATGATACGCAAATATCGAGTTTATTAAAAATCTCATATCTACTCAACTACCTAACTTCAAATTTATATAATTTTTTACGATTAAACTATGTGTACATTTTGGCTGACATCCCTCTATGTGGAAGAAATCTGAACAATGATGTAATTGATGTGTTTATAATCAATAGTGTCGATCTTGCCACATGGAAGAGTGTAAAAGTTAATGTAAAGAAATTAGAATGATTGAATTTTTTTATCAACAACTCCAAATTACATTTCAAACTCTATATTCAATTAATCTTCAATGGTTTATCATTTTCCCTTCGATTAGATGCAACGAAAGTTAGGTATTAATTTTCACACATGCCCTGTATTACAAAATGCGGAACCAATGTTCAGATTGTGTAAGGAAATTAGTACATAATTTTTGTTATACGCGTATCTCCATAGGAAAATTGTATCATTGAAAATATAATTGAATTTAGAGATTTAATGTAAAAAAAGAAGTTCGAATTTGTAGTTAGAGGATAAAAAATTATGGGAATTTAAAATTTCGTAGTCAAGCAAACTCAAAATTTGTGCAGTCTACTCAATATTTGTTCAACATACTCAATTTTTACATAGATACCTCGAGATTGCACTAGAAAACTCAATATTTGTCTTGCATATTCGATTTTTGCGTTCAAGACAAAATTCAAGATATCATCCATAACTTATGATTTGTGTAAGTTGCAAATCCAGAATATCTAGAAAATATGACCAATTAGTATCTTAATTAATTAGCCGTGGACAAATCATATAAGTGGACTGCACACAACATTTTGACGGAGTAAATGAATGGAATGAGACGGAAGGAGTGATTTGCTAAAAAAAATGGTAGATATGAGAGTCCAAATGTCAAAAATGAAACGATATGGACGATATGCACAATGAAAGCAAATGATAAGAACATTTTGTGTCAATTAACCATTTGATATTAAAAAGGACAATACAAATAAATATGGACTTATAAACCCAAAAGAAACTCTAGATTCTAATCCAAATCCAAATTATATATTAGGCAAACCCCATCATTAACCACAAAAGGATTGTGTTCTATCTTATCACGTTAAAACCCATCATGGAAGGGATTTCTACACTCGAGGAAGTCATGCTCGCTAGTGAAGTAGTCCTCAAAATCATAGTTCAGAAAAATCACCACCACTTTCAAGGGTATTATCAAAATACCTCGATCACCAATCTTGATATTTGTAATCTATATTTTCAAGCAAGTTTACAAAAATCCAAGATATGCCCATGTTCTAAAACCGAATGCGTTAATTTTAGAAGACAGTTTGAAAACAAAGCGAAGGTACAATGGTTGGGAAATAGGCGATTAGCCTGAACAGCAGCATTTTAGTTTTATAAACACAAGAATATTATGAGAGTCAAACAGGCCACAAGCAGAGTCTCTGATCATAGTTTTGGTCCTATTGGACATGAAAATTAGCGGGTGAGTTAAATTTGATCAAAAAATAAGCTGGTGAAGGTTAAGTGCATGCTTCGCTAAATATAATAAATATACTTTGCTAGTAAATTTACTTCAGTTAGAAAAATAAAGGGTAAAATAAAGTATATTCAGACAGTAATAACTAAAAAAGCTATGGTTCGATGAATTCAAAAATCACGAATAAAGACAGTAATACATAAAGACATTCTGACAATAGCTAGCTAAAGGAGAGATACGAGAAAATGTAAAAAGAAAAACAAGAAACACATATAACAAATACTCCAAACTCCCAGATCCCTTAAATTCAAGTGCAGAAAACTTTAATCCGGGACCTAGAACGAATCATATCCATGTATCTCACGAAGCTCATTTTTATACACCTGGAACCTATATGATTTGTACGAAAATTCAGTTTGCAGAAGTACTGTCTAGCTGACAGCCCACAAACTCAAGCTTTAGGCTTGAGAATCTTGGCAGTCTCCCAAGTGAAATCTGCATCTTCACGGCCAAAATGTCCATAGGCAGCAGTCTTTTGGTACCTGAAGTTCCCTCCTCTTTTAAGATCAAGGTTGATGGCAATCATTCCAGGCCTAAAGTCGAAATTCTCTTTAATAAGGGCTAGTATATCCTTGTCTGGAATCTTACCCGTCTTGTAGGTATCAACGAACACTGAAAGTGGCTCTGCCACGCCAATAGCATACGAAACTTGCACTATGCATCGACGGGCAAGTCCTGAAGCCAATACACTCTTTGCCGCCTGCCTAACAATGTATGCCCCACTCCTGTCCACCTTGGTAGGATCCTTGCCCGAGAAAGCGCCTCCACCATGAGCACCCCAGCCTCCATATGTGTCGATGATAATTTTCCTACCAGTGAGTCCTGCATCTCCATGTGGCCCACTAATAACAAATCGACCCGATGGGTTGAGGTGGAAGACTGTTCTGTCATCAAGGTACTGAGCAGGAATCACGGGTTTGATCACGTGTTCCTTCAAATCCTTGGCTATTTGATCATTTGTAACCGTCTCATCATGCTGGGTTGAGATGAGGACAGTGTGAACTCTAATAGGAACCATGGCACCACCGTCATTTTTGTACTCGACGGTAACTTGGGTCTTACCATCGGGTCTCAGCCATGGGCAAGTCTTGTTCTTTCTCACTTCGGTGAGCTTGGCCCCGAGCTTAGTGGCAAGGACATGAGTGAGTGGCATGAGCTCTGGTGTTTCATCTGTGGCATAGCCAAACATGTGCCCTTGGTCACCAGCTCCAATTTCTTCAGGTTTCTTCGTGAGATGACCGTGAACTCCCTGAGCAATGTCAGGGCTCTGCTGCTCAATATTAACGAGGACCTTGCAGTTGTCAGCATCAAGACCAACATCAGCTGAAGTGAACCCAATACCTCGCAGGTATCCCGAACTATCTTCTCATATTTTATGTTGGCTTTGGTCGTGATCTCCCCAAAGACCATGACCATATTAGTCTTCGTGCAGGTTTCACATGCAACTTTGCTATCACGTACTCGACGGTAACTTGGGTCTTACCATCTGGTCTTAGCCATGGGCAAGTCTTGTTCTTTCTCACTTCGGTGAGCTTGGCCCCGAGCTTAGTGGCAAGGACATGAGTGAGTGGCATGAGCTCTGGTGTTTCATCTGTGGCATAGCCAAACATGTGCCCTTGGTCACCGGCTCCAATTTCTTCAGGTTTCTTCGTGAGATGACCGTGAACTCCCTGAGCAATGTCAGGGCTCTGCTGCTCAATATTAACGAGGACCTTGCAGTTGTCAGCATCAAGGCCAACATCAGCTGAAGTGAACCCAATACCTCTGCAGGTATCCCGAACTATCTTCTCATAGTTTATGTTGGCTTTGGTCGTGATCTCCCCAAAGACCATGACCATATTAGTCTTCGTGCAGGTTTCACATGCAACTTTGCTATCAGGATCTTGAGCTAGGCAAGCATCAAGAATGGCATCTGAGACTTGGTCACAAAGCTTGTCAGGGTGGCCTTCATTGACAGACTCCGAGGTGAAGAGGAAGGTATCCATTCAGAGTCTAAGCAGCATATCGAGAGACATGTAAGTTTATCTGTGCTAAATATTCAAACAATTTAAATAACAAAAAACTAGGAACCCTTCCTATTTCAGTTTTTTTTTTTTTTTTGCTAATAATTTCATGAACCTAGAAGGGCTAAAATCTTATAATCAATTGATACAAAAAACTAGGAACCCTTCCTATTTCAATTTTTTTTTTTTTTTTGCTAATAATTTCATGAACCTAGAAGGGCTAAAATCTTATAATCAATTGATCCTTCTGATTTTATAGTAAAGCTTTAACAAAGATGACTATAAGAACTATAGTCTTAACTCCATCTTATCTGGTAATTTTCGGAACTAAAGCCGAAAAGATTTTATTAGATTTTTTTCAAAATCTACAATGAAATACGCAAAAATTCATCTCAGATGCTCCCAGGTACCATACTCATGCAAACACATTTCTCTTTGGAAGGTTGATGCATTGTTGAAAAGAGTCAAAACAATTAGAAAACAAAGGGAT